GTTTCTCGGTTTAAGCTATCCGTTTTAGGACTTTGGTCAACCGTTTAATGTTTCGAGCCACCCGTTTTTAATTTTGGTCAACCGTTTAACAGTGTTAGCTATCCGTTTTTGGACTTTGGTAAACCATTTAATGTTTCGTGCTATCCGTTTTTATTTTTGGTCAACCGTTTTAGGGCCTAAGCTATCCGTTTTTGGACTTTGATCAACCGTTTAAATTTTTTGCCATCCGTTTAAGCGGTCATGGAAACCGTTGAAACGCTTGAGCTAGCCGTTTAGTGTCCGTTTAAAACCGTTTTTCTAGACCGTTTAACGGAAAAGCGTTAGTGTCCGTTTTCCCATGGAGGGTCACAAGTGTTTTTCACTCAGCATCTTATACTGATACATGCTGGTATGGTGTGTTTAGCAAGGGAGAAATATTTTGATGCAGCATGTACTTTCTGCTCAGTCTGCAGTCTACAAGCAGTCTCAATTTTGGTCTTAACAAATCATCAATTGATTTTTCATGGAAATTATTTGAAATTTTTAAGTTGAATAAAATATTACAAAAGGTTTATATGTACAGAAACTCTTGATTCAAGTCAAAATTAATATGTGACATGTGAATTTTAAAGAAAGGCAAGCACAATATGTGAATTTATGAAGCATTGTGAAGCCTGATTTGCCTCCTAAAATGTACGTGACCAACCCATTTTCTCTTTCATTTAGTGAATACCTCAAGATTTCCCTGCCAGGAACCTTGCACTTGAAAAGAGGGATTTGAAATTTCCCTTTTAAATTTTTGGTGCATGTAATGCTGTTTAAAGTATTGGTGAAGCATGAATTTTTCTAAAATTAGTGTTTGAAATGAGATTGGGAACCCATTTGCTACTCAGCTCTTTGGAGCTAACTTGTTTAAGACAAAGGGGTGGTGGAGTGTAGCAAAAAAGTCTTCTGTGTTTGGAAAGGTCAATTCAGTCCCGGAATACCTTAGTTCTTCATAAGAGAAACTTCCTTTTTGTCTCTGATTTTGATATAAATATTGTCCTGTGCATCTTTTTCTGCACAGTCAGTAAACCAGCACCTCCTTGGGAAGGGACTGCTGTTGTTAATGGGGAGTTTAAAGAGTTGAAGATTACTGATTTTAAAGGTAAGCTGTTTTTGTGTGCACATAGATACAGCTGTAACTTGAAAAACTGAGAGCCTTGCGTGAAGTCCAATCACAGGTTTGTAAAGATCTTGTATGAGGCTACTAGTAATTCTGCTGGGAGCAGTTTGACACTTATGCCTATAATTATTTTCCTGTTTTTATGTGCTATTATATAAACAGAAGCCTCTGCCTGGGCTAGAATGAACAGATATTTGTTAGTGGGCATTGTCTATTAGGAGATATATGAGGCAGATTTAGTCAAGTGACCTGTTGAGACCAAATGCATCTAATGAAAAATTGTTTAAAAATAATATTATCTCTTTTAAAAACCTTCTCCTTGCTTAATTTTTGGCATGTTCGTGTGAGGTTTTTGTTTTTTTGTTTTTGTCTTTTCCTTCCAGTTTTTTCCTACTGATTTTTGAATAACCTTCCCTTTGCTCAATTTTTAACATGTTCACGTGATGCTCTTCATCATCTGTAACCGATTTGTCTTTTCCTTTCAGTGTATTCTAATTTTTGTTATATTACTTTTTCCTACACAGGAAAACATCTGGTGTTCTTTTTCTATCCCCTTGACTTGTGAGTATTAGATGTTAGTATACTCTTTGACTAAAAGTTTGTTGTACTTTGCTACCTTCATGCTATCCTCCCAAATAAGCCATCTCTCCACAATTGCTACAGCTAGTAGTCAGCATTGTTCTCAAGGTGACTGGTATTAAAAGTTTCATCAACTGCATGCATGTTATTTTAAATTGATTCATTACAAATAACACCTATTTGTTGTCATTTGCAGTACTTTTGTTTGTCCAACGGAGATCATTGCCTTTAGTGATAGAATTAAAGAGTTCAGGGCAATCAACACTGAAGTTGTTGGTTGTTCAGTAGATTCAGTTTTTACCCATTTAGCTTGGTATGTGAACCCTTTACACCCTAACATCAGTATGTATATTCTCCATTACTACTCTCTAGACATTTCCAAGGGTTCTGACAAGGAGAATTTGTTCAACAATCAAGAGTTTCTTTAGTTGGTGATCATCTCCTTTATTCTCATGACCTAAATGTTTGATTTAGGGGTGATGTTGTTAGGAGAAATTAGATGTTAGTCACTCTCAGGAGTTTAAGGGTCAATCCTAAATTTTAACTGAATTTGTAACTTTAAAGGATTTGAGAGTTTTAAAAAACAGAGAAAGGTATTTCCAATTTATATTGAAGATTTGTAGAATGCCAGAAATTAAAGTAAAAAGGAAAAATTTCCATTTTTGGTAAAAAAAAAATCTGCCATAAAATGCATTCCAGTTTTAAGTTACATTCATTCTACATGTTTGTGTAAAGTGTTAGATTATTACAATGTAGTCATCCAGGAGAGAACTTTTGAATGATTCCATGCGTAATCACAAAGATATATATCGCTACAGCAGTGTTCACCTTTATTTTAAGCATGATTGGTAATTTAAGGAATTCTCAAAACAGCTAGTAGAGTAATCCTTGTACCTGTTGAATTGTTAAAAATTCCCAGAGGTACCAGAGGAAATAAATAAGTTCCTATATTCCTTTCAATTCCAGGATCAACACTTCAAGGAAAGAGGGTGGACTGGGAAGGCTTAAATATCCTCTGTTATCTGACTTAAACCATCAAATTGCTAAAGATTATGAAGTACTACTTGAGAATGAAGGTCACACCTTAAGGTGAGGATATCTGTGTTTTGTATTTCCTCATGTTTCTGACTTTTTGTGACAGTAAACCATTCTATTTAAACATAATGTGTTCAGTGTTTGTCAGCTGTGATCATCTGGGAATAATAAACATTATTCAACGAAGTGGAGGGGAAATAGCTGGGGATATCTACCACTTTCACCAACACTGCGGTAAATAATTGTATTAGCATGTACACTGTATATACCACACAGAAATAAAAAAATCAGTACATTTCTGTCAATATACAAAGAAATGGTTGGAATTTAATTTTTGATGCATGATTCTGTTGCCTTGGCTGCTCAAAGGGGAATAGTACCGTAGTTATTCGGTTGTAAGGCGCACCGTTTTTTTCAAGAAATTCCTAATTTCTACTAAAAATTACCGCCAAAGTTTGGGTGCGTCTTATAGGCGAATATTTTCCCGAAACAATTTTTTTTGATCACAGTTACTAGTACGATTTCAAGCAAATAAAATGACACACGCACATTGAATATGGTTGTTCTGAAAAGACAAGCGAAGTCAAATTTGCATAGATGTGATACGTGCTCGAGAGCACGTGCTTAGTAATTTGATACGTCACAAAACGAAACGAAAATAAACAAGCGAAGAGGTAAATACCTTCTACATCCTTTCAGCCTTTTTAGTGCATTGAGACCTGCATTCTCGGCGGTACATCTTGTCTAATCAAGGCTTTTGTTTGTGTGCGTGGTCGCGTGTGCGACAATTCTGCTTTTGTTGATTAACGGTAAAATAAAATCAATACGCGACTTTTTCGCTTTTTTGTAAGTTTATGAAAGAATTTACAATAAACTTGACCGATCTTTACTCCTCAAACAACGGTGCGCCTTATAACCAAGTATTTTAGTGATTTTCTCAGTTTGAAAACATACAATAATGAAGTTGCCGAATTGGGGGTGCGTCTTATAGCCGAGTGCGCCTTATAACCGAATAACTACGGTACTTGTTAATCACTTTCAAGCCAGCCAATCAGAGCACACAAAAAGCACTATTCATCTGTGTGGTATGTACCAAAAAAACTTATTTGATGTAATGATGATAATGATTATGACAATGATAATGATAATGATGATCATTTAATAGACCATATCTACTTGAACAAAGTATTTCATTATCTGCAATCTACCTATTCTTGATTTCTAAAATCTGAACATTTCTTTGTTTGTGCTCCTTCCCTGGATCAAGATATCCATTTTTGAGCACCTGACTGGCATTATCTTGTTGCATTGTTGGCTGTCACACCACATAGTTAAGAAAAACTTAACTCATATACTGAAGAGTCTCTCTTGGTCGGATGGTTTTTTCCCCTTAATATTACTACTTTTGAGGGGGAGCTGGAGGGAGGGGGGGGGGGAGTTATGTCCCTGTAATGGACATAACATCTATGGATTAAAAACACTCAGATCAGGTCTGATCAGGTTGCTGTACTTTGCTTCCTTCATGCTATATAACAGGTCTGATAGTTAGGCAAGGGAGATTTGGTTAAGGTGAGAATATTCTTACCTTTATGACCACTTTTATTACATGCCTGTTCTTTTTCAGGGGTCTATTTATAATAGATGACAAAGGAACTCTCCGACAGATCACAATGAATGACCTACTGGTATGTTGTAACTGTACATGTATGACTGTAATTGTACCGTGAATTTGTACTGCGAGTTTTATGTAGCTGTTTGCTTCTACAGTTAATTGTTCTTGATACGCTGAGAAAATTTATCTGTCCATTCATATAATTTGATTCGAGTCTGGCCCTCGTCCACTGTCACGTGGTAAAAATCACAAGCTCATTGTTTAAGTGTTAAGCAGTGGTGATCCCTTTCCTTTTATTTCGTGACGTTTTTATTATTTCATTTGAAAAATACTGATATTCGATTTTGATTTGGACAAGGGAGAAAAAAAGCTTAGTAAATAGTATCAAGAAAAAAGACTCCTTGTGTCCAGTCTCCTGATTTTTTTGCGGTTCGCGGTCTTTGGCTTTATAAAGTGTGAAGTACTATTTATAACTTAACTACTCAAAGAAGTTAATCTGAACTGGTTATTTCGCAGGTGGGCCGATCAGTCGACGAGACTTTACGTTTAGTCCAGGCTTTCTAATATACTGACAAATACGGGGAAGTTTGTCTGGCCGGTTGGAAGCCTGGTAAAGAGACGATATCCAACAGAAAAAAAGAAGTACTTTGCAAAACAGACTGAAGGAGAAGATGAGGAAGAGAAGAAATGAACTGAACAAACTTTGGAATTGAAAAAAAAACTGAGAGTTGTCCTTATTTAGGTGGCTTTGTTTTACTTTGCATCCAGAAAAGTTACGAACGATTTGTAAGAAAACTTTTGGCGAGAATCGAGAAACAAATCTAACTTAAAGATAGGTCTTTGTAGTAGTCTCTTTAGTTGTTTTGTAGTGGCCTTAAAGGCCTGCGCTTTTCTGTGCGCGTAGGATTGGGGTGGAGTAATGGTGAGGTGATTCCCTTGTTTTGCTCCTCCTATGAGTATGGCTGTAGTGAATTATTAGACTTCTTGCTATTTAAAAATCACCTCACATACTCTGATTAGTTACTCCACGAGTTCACTCTGAAACCAATTCTTCAACCCGCTCTCTTGCTATACATTTCCTACGCTGCTGACTACGAGGATTTTGGCGGTCATTCCCCTAATTCTCATGGCCTTAATACTTAGCTCGGCTTGATACTGTAGGGAGACATTACATGATAGTAGCACTGAGGGGTTAAAGAGTTGAAATGTTTCCCTAAGTCTAGGTGAGCAAGTCAGTAGAACAAATAGTCCATTTTACAGTTGTGTGCTTGGTTGCCAAGCCTTTGAACAGGAATGACGCTAAGGGTGACCTTGTTATGATACAAACCTTGCTGCTTTTCAAATGCAAATTACTTTGTTATCATGCTAACTAGATACTAGTCTCTATCATAACAAGGTCACTTTCAGCCTCACTCCAAATCAGAGGCTTGGCAACTAAGTACACAACTGCAAAATGGCCTATTGTCAGTAAACAATTTTCAGTTTTGGATCGAAAAGCAGTTGCTGTACAGGAAATGAGCCCGCCCCCCTACCCTGAAATTTCGATAACCGTCGGAAATCTAGCCCCGCGCATTTGGTGTGAAACATGTGAACCAGTGGTGAGCAATAATACTTGGCTGCATTTTAAAAGCACAGTCTTGGTCTCTAGCGGAATGTATCCTCTTTAACAGGGTGGTAGGAAAAACATGGATATTTCGTTTTAGACTTAATGACCTTTGAAGCTGACCGTCTTTTCACTCGAACCAGCTTCCCTTGTCCAAGTGAATTAGACGCGAGGTGTGGGTCTTATCCGTGTAATTCAACAGCTGTTTAATTAATTTGGCAAAAGGAAAAGTTTAGACAGAGTGAAGGGGTGTAACAGAATATGAATTTCATGGTGTTCTAGTTTTTGTGTTTCGGAGGTTCTTTTTACACTAAATTTGCAATATCAGGCAGAAGAGTGATAATCTAAAAACATCGCCTGCTTTTTCGCCAAATTTTCCGAGCGAAAATTGCGTGAAATATACAAAAACAGTAAGAACTGAAATGAAGATCTGAAATGGATTTTGATTGGATTATGTATCAAGAAATTACCAATGGACTCTGTGTTTTCCATAGTTCATGATTTATGCCTGCTCTAGTTTTTATGGGTAGTATATTACTTCCAAGCTGGCAAAGGCTCTAAGATTAAAAAATTAAGCTATTAATCCAATGGTTCAAAATGTATCAAATGCATGTCCAAATGCATGTAAAAAAAAAGCAGTCATATGTACAACCTACAACAAGTTAGAAATTCAAAGGTAAGATATGCCAAAACACCAAAGGTTAAACTTTCGTATTAAACTTATGATTTAGAAAACATCGCTGTATAATCGTTACGAAGACCATGTGAAATTAATTAAAAGGTTTTCTTAGCATAACTTGTCTTAAACATGGCCGCAACACTACTCAATCCCCGCAAAAAATTTCTCTTTAAAAGTAAACCATCTGACTTTTATCAGTTTAAATCCACAAAGCTGAATTTAAAAGAAGTCAAAAAGAGTTTCAAATTGTACTTAAAAGTTATTAAATGATATGGTAACAAATCACTTATTTGATTATAGCCTCAATGCAGGTTATTTCATGATTCCACTGGTTCAATTCAACGCCGCGTGACATTAAATTTGTATCGCGTGCCTCTGTTGGTTTTGATTGCCATTAGTCAGTACCAAACGCCTGGGGTTCCCTCTTGTCTGCATACAGATCCATCAGTGATGACCTACAAGAAAAGTATAAGAGCCGCAAATTAAATATTTTTCTTGAATTCATCGAAAAATAAATTTAAGTGCCCTGCTTTATTACAAATGAAAAACTGCGAGTCTCGGCATCAACAACAGGCAGTGCAATAACTCAACGAGAAACTTATTTTTCTGTTTTGTGTTATCTTTGTGCACCCTCTACCTCGGCTGCAGGAACGAAATGAAGATAAAAGACATGAAGACATAAAGGGTTATTGGAAACACAACTAAATATTCATGAAAAAGTTCCATAAGGAACGAAGAGGTGATAATTAACATCTCACTCTTCCTTGATTGAGCAAAATTAAAGGCGCACTTACTATGGATACCTTTTAAATTTCCGTTAATTCCAGTTTCACGTCGTCCCCGATGAGTACAAATGGCGCCCAGTAATTCCCTTTACTGAACATTTCAGACTCTCTCATGCACTTCATGGCTTGATTGACAGCTTCACTGGTACCCTTGCCTTTTTCCAGTGCTCCGTAGAAATGTTTCATGAACTCCTGAGTACCATCGTCATCAATGGCCCACAGGGATACCAGAACCGATCGAGCACCGGCACCTAAGAACGCTCGCGCAATGCCAACCACACCTTCGGCCATAACCTCACCGCAAGCGCTGTGACAGCAACTAAGCACAACCAGTTTCGCTCGCAGCCCGACTCGTAACACGTCTCTCATTGTCAGTAGATAGTCTTCCTCTTCAGCTTGACAGCTTGTCCTACTCGTGTTTGGTGCCAAGAGAATCTCTCCTGTCTCTTTTTTACCATGCGCTGCAATGTGAACCAACGCAACTGAGGAAATTCGTCCTAATACCTCTTCCTTTGTCGCCTCCCCTCCAACGAGAGGAGCAATACCGAGGATTCCTCCAATCATCTTCACCTCTTTCCTTGCACCCGGCAGCTGATTTAACAAATTACCCTGATAAAGGACTTGCTTGTAACATGGATCACCCACGAGCAGTGCACCGGTTTTATTGTGCAATTCTGTCGGGCAGTCTGAGATTGATTTTAAAATGGTTAGGGATGGAATTACTCGAATCCTGAAAGATTCGCACAGATACCTTGAATTCGAATCCACCAATGCTGCATAGGGCACCAAGCAAAGTGGACCTTCAGGAACAAATACAAGCTCTTCTCCATCAATCAGATCTGCGATAGGAGAAACTATGATATCATAAAGCTTCCGCAGGGCATTTGTCGTCGCGTTTCGCGGAGAACCATTGCTCGTTCCTTTTTCATCTCGGCCCACTTGAGTTGAACTTTTTTCCCATTCAACAGCAGCCCTTGCACTAACTTGCAAGGAAGCAGCCTTATTCAAAGAGGTAATGTAAACTTCTAATTCACGTTGGTAAAGAAAGTTGTTCACATGCTTTATTCTCGATTGAACGACTTCCCCGTTCCGAATAACCCACAAAGCAATGTAAGGTCCAGTAATTGCTAGAAAAACTGCATCTGATGAAATGTTTCTTAATGAAAGACAATCGGAGCATTTTCTAGAGTTCCACCGCGTGAGGGTTTGTCGAAAGTTGTACTTTAAATCCACGATATCTCTTAGAGTTTGTGCACGTCCCTCCTCGGAAGCAAGAAGAGCTTTGACATGTTCGCCCTTCAGTAAAAGTACGCGCCAAACACCATTGTATGCTGTTTTGTGAACATTTCGATACGAAATCTTCCAGTTATGGTTCAACAGAAAACTAGCCCGAACATTATTAAAAATCTCTCTACTAGAAATATAATAGTCGAGGGCGGTTTGGAGACATTCATGCCTTTCAAAAGTTGTAGCAAGACTACAAAGAGCCTGGGCAATCCCATCCTTGTCTCCCACTTCTTTAACAATTTCTAGACGACGTCTATGGTACTCGATGGCTGTTTTGAACTGTCCTAGACCATCATAAGCATTGCCAAGGCTGCCATAACTCGCTCCTTCTCCAGCCTTGTCTCCCACTTCTTTGGCAATCTCTAGATGACGTTTATGGTAGTCGATTGCTGTTTTGAACTGTCTTAGACCACCATAAGCATTGCCAAGGCTGCCATAACTCGCTCCTTCTCCAGCCTTGTCTCCCACTTCTTTGGCAATTTCTAGACTACGTTTATGGTAGTCGATCGCTGTTTTGAACTGTCCTAGACCAAGATAAGCATTGCCAAGGTTGCCATAACTCACTCCTTCTCCAGCCTTGTCTCCCACTTCTTTGGCAATTTCTAGATGTCGTTTATGGTAGTCGATCGCTGTTTTGAACTGTCCTAGACAACGATAATCACTGCCAAGGTCGCCATAACTCGCTCCTTCTTCAGCGCTGTCTCCCACTTCTTTGGCAATTTCTAGACAACGTTTATGGTAGTCGATGGCTGTTTTGAACTGTCCTAGACCAAGATAAGCATTGCCAAGGTTGCCATAACTCACTCCTTCTCCAGCCTTGTCTCCCAGATCTTTGGCAATTTCTAGACAACGTTTATGGTAGTCAATGGCTGTTTTGAACTGTCCTAGACAATGATAAGCATTGCCAAGGTTGCAATAACTCGCTCCTTCTCCAGCCTTGTCTCCCACTTCTTTGGCAATTTCTAGACAACGTTTATGGTAGTCGATGGCTGTTTTGAACTGTCCTAGACAAAGATAATCACTGCCAAGGTTGCCATAACTCGCTCCTTCTCCAGCCTTGTCTCCCACTTCTTTGGCAATTTCTAGACAACGTTTATGGTAGTCAATGGCTGTTTTGAACTGTCCTAGACAATGATAATCACTGCCAAGGTTGCCATAACTCGCTCCTTCTCCAGTCTTGTCTCCCACTTCTTTGGCAATTTCTAGATGTCGTTTATGGTAGTCGATCGCTGTTTTGAACTGTCCTAGACAACGATAATCACTGCCAAGGTTGCCATAACTCGCTCCTTCTCCAGCCTTGTCTCCCACTTCTTTGGAAATTTCTAGACAACGTTTATGGTAGTCGATGGCTGTTTTGAACTGTCCTAAACAATGATAATCACTGCCAAGGTTGCCATAACTCCTTCCTTCTCCAGCCTTGTTTCCCACTTCTTTGGCAATTTCTAGACAACGTTTGTGGTAGTCGATGGCTGTTTTGAACTGTCCTAGACAACGATAATCACTGCCAAGGTTGCCATAACTCGCTCCTTCTCCAGCCTTGTCTCCCACTTCTTTGGAAATTTCTAGACAACGTTTATGGTAGTCGATGGCTGTTTTGAACTGTCCTAGACAATGATAAACATTGCCAAGGTTGCCATAACTCCTTCCTCCTCCAGTCTTGTCTCCCAGATCTTTGGCAATTTCTAGACAACGTTTATGGTAGTCGATGGCTATTTTGAACTGTCCTAGACAACGATAATCACAGCCAAGGCTGCCATAACTCGCTCCTTCTCCAGCCTTGTCTCCCACTTCTTTGGCAATTTCTAGACAACGTTTGTGGTAGTCGATGGCTGTTTTGAACTGTCCTAGACAACGATAATCACTGCTAAGGTTGCCATAACTCGCTCCTTTTCCAGCCTTGTCTCCCACTTCTTTGGCAATTTCTAGAAGACGTTTATGGTAGTCGATGGCTGTTTTGAACTGTCCTAGACCACCATAAGCATTGCCAAGGTTGCCATAACTCCTTCCTTCTTCAGTCTTGTCTCCCAGATCTTTGGCAATTTCTACTTCCTGGTTTGATGTAATAAAATAAGTTTTTTGTTCGTCGTGGTGTAAGATAAAAGATGAAATGAATTCCTTTGTTTCACGATGGAGTCACTTTGGATGTTGATCGCGACGATTCCACTGAAATGCTACTAGTCTTCATTGCTCTAACGCTCTGAACGTATGCCTTTTAACTCTGTACGGCGGCCAACTTACCCCTTAAGCCATTTGTAGTACGTTAGTCGGCTGCTATTGGTGCATTTCGATCCTCATTAGTATTCCGGTTGTTAGATGGTGTTCCCTCATAGGTCCTCTTTGATCGGCTATTGTGTTGTTTGATCGTGAGTATCCACGCTTCGTGAATTTCGATTCCACTATCTCCACTGATGTTGTTGAGATGAAGCCTTATATGGATAGCCTCTTTAACCCTACGTGTGTACCAGTGGGGGCATTCACCCACCAACCTCAGTCAGTGAAGCGTGGTATTGTTAAGTGTCTATTCGACGATCAGACACCACAACAGCCGGTAAATGAGGACCTATGGGGGAACACCATCTAACAACCGGAATAATAATGAGGATCGAAATGCACCAATAGCAACGAAGCAACGCGCTTCAAATAGCGACACGTAAACAAGCGACCTCACTGCCTAATGAAGACTAGCAGTATTGCAGTAGAAATGTCGCGATCAAACAAACGAATAAAGTTCATCTCCTTTCCTGGTTTGAGTTTCCCTTATGGTTTGGAAATGTGTCGCTAAGTTTTATTTCGCACTTAGGGTTTAGGTTCGAACGAGGTCTTTAAAAAAGGCCAGAGATAAGTATTTTCCCTATTAGACCTTTGTAATTGGGCCATGAGAACCACTCGCACAGAATTCCTCTGAATTCCTTCCTGGATGTGGATTTTCAACGAGGTTCTTAAGTTTGTGAAAGTGACTAGACTTCAAAGAAAAAACAGAGACAGATAGGTAGGCTTTTGTTCTAGCCATAAGAATTTTTCGATTTATAATCTTTAGAACGTACGTATATTTTAGAAGGCTTCGGGATTTGGCTAACCCCGTTTTGATGATTTTATTTGAGTGAGTACTGGAAAAATATTGGCCCCTGCGGTCGTAACGATTAAGCAATATAATTTCGTGATTTTCGTTACTGGCCCCTCGCGGACCAAGACCTGTGAACTCGAGATGCACGTTTTAACCTCTTTAGATTTTCTGGTTGCCTAATCAGTTCTATTTAAAGAAAAATTCAGGTAATGGTTATCAGATTTACCTTTACTTGCTGTGGCTTTATCTCGCCGGATGCGATTGTCTCACTACCACACTTGTTTAATAGATGACGCAACCTTTTACTATTATCGTCCATCTTCAATGCGTTAAGTCAAATGACACTGCTGAGAGGAAAGGGGGAATGCTTAGGGAGGGTGTTTCATCCAGTTTTTAGGAGAAAGTCTATTAGATACTGCAAGACTTCTACCTGCAGAGTGCCTTTTCGGCTTTTGAGAACTCGACGAAAGCACCTTTCTTACAGAATTGTCAATCTTGATAACTTTGCTTTGCAGTTCACACAGTAATTCGATTAAGTCGCACACTTGTCAGATTTTTTAATTGTTCAGCCTTTTAACTCTTTACGGTGGCCAATTTACGTTTCCAACTCAGTTGTTAACACTAAATTACCTGCTATACTCTCCCACCGACGCAGCACCACAGTTTCTTTGCAAACTTACCCCCCTTTTTTCATAACTAATTGTTCGCCTTGCCTAAAATATCGGTCCCTTACTTGTTACTCCATGCTCATTTACATTAATTTTAACGAAGTGAAACCGTATCCATTCACTTCAAGAAAAAAAAACAACGGTCGTAAAAGAGCAGCGTTCCAAAGACTACTGAGTAAAAAAAAATGTAATCCACAAGGTTGAATAATTAAGGATTATGTTATGTTTCGGTGGGACACAAGGAAAAGGGCAATCATGACTGACAAGAAGTTTCAAAGTCTTTTCAATTTAAGAGCAATTAAGGGACCACCAATAACGAGCTCTGAAGGAAATCGAGTGGATTAGGGCTTTTATCGTCACACAGACTAAGAAAGACGATTAGATACAACCGTAATAGCCAGACAAAAAGGAAATGAATGTTGATGAAGGTTGGACTAAGCCGTTTAAGAAAGGAAGGAAAACAGCTGAGGAGGCTTTGGTTTTGGATAACATTCCTGAAAAAATCATAAGATATTGCGATAAAACTGTGAAAACGCAAGAATCATGATGACAAGGAGATTAAAAGATCCTAATTACTACGACGATTCAGTGTAACGCGTGTGCACGATCCAAAGAGAGACCAGGAACGACAGAAGATCAAGAAATTAAAGAGCTGAGCAACAGCAACGAGGTGTATAGCCACGAAGAGGAGATCTACAGTGTCAAAATTGGCAAAAGGAGAAAAAGATTGCCTTTAATGGACCAGAGAGAGAGAGAGAGAGAGATCGAACAAAGCGTTCAAGTCGTGACTCTGCGTAGACACATTTTTCCTTCAAGCTCACTTGGTTTTTCACTGAGTGTGATGACCTTTTGAAACAGTTGGATTTATACATTTCATTTGTAATTGATATTATTATTTATTCAGCAGCATCGTTTTTATCTCAAAATGGAGGAGGATACAGTGACTGGATAGTTAACTTGCTCGCTGTCTCTTTCCGAGACCTGGTGCCGAGTTAAGAGGGCAGATAAGATGATCTTGGAAACGCCCCCGAAATAGCTATGTTCTCGAGGAACTAAAAGATTTCAAAACAATGAAAGTGAGGAAGATGCAATTTAATACAACGCATAACAATTACTGGTCACCAGAGGGAGAGGCTTGATTCCGTTAGGAGAGAGAAAGAGGGGAAGGACAGATAATAATGATAATAATGAGCTCGAAACGCTGACTGCCTCTTCCCCGTGTACATTTGTAAAATTACTGGGGAATTTGAAACGTCCACTCGCAGGCTGTCAATTTGTTTGAATAACAAGTTCGAATCATTAACGTGTGAAAAACTGGACAAACATGAATCTTAGTGAGGCTGCTGATAAGATAGAATTTTCTTTCGCATGTCAGATTCTCAACGGCGACAAGCAGTGCCTTTCGTCGCGTTGCCTTTTGGAAAAGACATTAACAGCTGTCAGTGTTTGGCATCATTAATAGCTGCATCGTACGATCATATCCATTCTATAGTAATATATCATCTTGGGAAAGTCTTTTACTATTTGTCGTTAGTTATTTCGGGTTATATCGTTTGCGTTGTTAGCAGGAAATGGTGTAAGAACTGGTTTTAATGGCATTAACATAAATCATACTCATATTTCACCGGGAAAAGTGACTGAAACTGACAGCTAGAGACCACCGAAAATTCAGCTTTTAAATCAAAATTGAAAAATTTGAAAATCATTGGACGTCTTAAATTTGCACTAGATTTTCTTAAGTTAAGCTTAAAGTGGTAATCACTGGAGTTTTTTACGTCTTAGAAACGAATGTATTTTTCAAAGGATACGGCCAATCCTTTATGACACCAGATCTTTGCTTCATCATACAACTTAAGCTGCACACAAGCTTCAGCTCCTATAAAAATAAGGATTAGTGATAAATAGCTAAGTGCCTTCTTTGAGAAGCCAAAATATTGGCATTTTCAATTCACAAATGAAGATTTATGGTGCGTGACCGCGTAGATTTGAACCAGAAACATCTACCTCAACGTACGTAGCCAGGGAGCTATCGCCACTGAATGGCGACTAAAATTAAACTCACCTTTCTCCAAGGCTTTGATGAAAGTTGGCTCCAATTGTACAGCAACTGTGGCATCATCTAGGCTGTTTTCAAAGTTTTCTAAAGGAGGGATTTAGAGCTAACCGGTTATTTGCGTTCGATAGAATTGCAAAAAGAGTAACCGACTCCCTTTCAACAGGACTCTTTACAACTAATTCGAGGTTTTCTTTCACCTTGGAAAGACTTGGGCCCCCTCATATAACCTTCGATAACGCGGTTGCGGGAGGAGGGAGGGTTTGGTGGGGAGAATACATATGGGAAGTGCAGGTGATAACGGGATTAGTTTATTAATTTTCCCCTTTTTTACCATTAGGACCTAAAACTTGAACTTGAACGCTCGAAGTTAAATTAAAGAGGGTCGTGAGTGATATAAAGCTCTTCTCGGGGATTTCGGTTTATCATAGGTCACAAGATTTGGAGTCTTTATCTTGAGTAGCCGTTATATTACTGGATGTCCTTTAACTCATTTGGAGTGATAGATAAACGATCAGAAAAATTCCCATAAAATGAGACCACATGACTCTTTGAAAATGAACTTTTAAGTAAACTATAAATAATTGAACATTGAAATTCAATACCTAAACGGAAATGAGCTGCTGCCCTGTTATTGTAGAGTCTGGCTGTCAGCCGATTATCTTTGCAGTTAAGTTGAAGTCCTTCAGTGTACAGTTGTAGCGCTCTATGAAAATCTCCTTGTCTGTATTCTTTGTTACCTTGCTGAAAACAATCCTTTGCTTTCACTAAAAATACAGGAAACACCGGAATATTACTCGTTATGACCAATTACTCACAATACCCCGCATACCCAGTAAAGCAACGACCATGTCCAAAAATATATAAGCTCACCTACTCAGTATTCACGTCTTATATCCTTTAGGAAGAATATGGATTTTTATGATTTCGAGAACATTTTAAGTAAGCTCTTTCTTATGGATGGGCAGTTGTTCTTGATTGGAAGCGGATCAAGAAAAGCAAATAGAAAAGACAACAACAATGAATCAACTTCAACAAGAAACCCAAATATATTAGAATAAGGGGGGTAAGTTTCTATAGTAACTGTGGTGCTTCGTCGGTGGGAGAGTATAGCAGGTAATTTAGTGTTAAAAACTCATTTGAAAAAGTAAATTGGCCACCGTAAAGAGTTAAAAGGCTGATGTTTCGAGCGTTAGTCAGAACGACTGGAGGAATTGTGGGTTGTGTGTGGGTTTATTTGCAGAAAATGGAGCTACGCTATTGGTGGGAATATGGTGACGAGAAAACAAGAATAATTTAGTTAAGTGAAAAGCGCTCATTTATACCGTGGGAATTAAGGGTGCCGATTTGGAAGAAAATTTTTGTTCTAATGTTTTGCAGCATTCCGAACTGCCGAGATGCAGGGAAAGGCCGCAAACTGCCATGCGTTGTTTAGAATGATTAGGGAGATTTAAGTGTCTAGCGACTGGTTTGGATGCGTCCTTGTCATTTCTTTCTAAGTCGCGAACGTATTCTCGGAATCGGTCACCTAGTCGTCTTCCTGTTTCACCAATATACAACTTATTGCAAAAGGTGCAAGTTATGCAATAAATGACATTGGCGGAGGTACACGTAAGGTGATCAGTGATCTTAATGGATCTCTTAGGTCCCGATATTTTCTCTATGATCTTCCGGAAAGTATTATTCACTCTCATACAAATTAATTTTCAAACCGATATTTTTCTGTCAACAAAAGTGATTTGAGAGAGAGAAAAGAGAGGATTAATAAGTTATTTATCAGCTTGAGGTAGTGACCGAAGTCTTTGCTTCAAATACTGCTCAGCTGGAAAAACGAGATATATTTATAAAAAATGGCAACGAAAGTAGGGATGTACTCGGCGACTCACGAAAGCGTTACCGTTGCCCGTGGGCAGTGTTAGGAAAATACTGACCGGGTAAAGACCCAATCAGATTGCATGATTCGTTTCTATGCCCTCTTTTGCCATTCTAGCACGATGCTGTTGATAGCGTTCCATCACATGAGTATTTCAAGACACATGCGTCACTTTTTCAATAGATCTTTTTTTTTAAGAAAGGCTAGTGCGACTATGTTTTCTCGCGCAGTAGAATGGTAATCAAAGTTACTCCCGGAAAAAGATTATCACTTCACTTCGTTCTATTAGACGGGAGATGGACAATTTGCACCAAATCAGTTCAAACTCTTGGTTCATCTTCAGCAACGTTCCGAAAGAGAAATTCCAACTGAATGTAGAGAATAACCTTGGATTGCTCATAAACTCGCGCCTCTAACACAGTCAGTCAGATTTCACACTAGAACTAGGTAATTTAGTGTTATCAACTGAGTTGATAATGTAAATTGGCCACTGTAAAGAGTTTCAAAGCTGACTTTTGGAGCGTTTGCCCTTTGTCATTCTCTCTGACGAACTGGGCTAACGCTCGAAACGTCAGCTTTGAAACTTTTTTAAGATGGCAAATTTACATTATGAACTCAGTTGATAAAGCCAAATGTTATCTTGTTATATTCCCCCACCGATGCAGCACCACAGTTTCTTTAGAAACTTACCCTCCATAAAAATATAACAAGTTGAATTGCGGCTCTGTCGCTCTTGTTTTCCTGCGCGTCAGGTATGCGCAGTTTCCTTGTTTTCACTTAAATTTCTCATCGGCTCCTTGTAGTAATTCCTTTTCGTGACTTGCTGATTTAGTTTCGGTTTTACGACACTCAGTAATAAAGCGCTCTACTAGCTACGGTTGAATTGCTACGAGTGTAAGAGGGACAGTGGATGACTACAGATTGTCCTACCTTACGTCTTGTGGAACACGTTAGTCTTCTCACTTACCTACTAAGGGGTCGTTGTCTAGGTCCACATCTTTATCATCTGAAGTTTTGTTCGCTGAAATTATAACGAAGATATGTAAGATGTCTTTTGCGCGTGTCACAACTGAACCAATTTTCCATTTTAGTGACCCATGATGAAATTGAATATCTGTTTTTGCATCCCAATGGCCAACCGTACCGATTTCTAATCTGTCAGAATCACTCTCTTTGTCATGGAAAGGCTTTATGAAATTGAACGCGCCAAGGAATTTTTCGACGTCTTGCTTAACTAAAAATTCGTCGGTGGTTTTAAAAATGGAAACTAAATGGAAGCCCTCACTGAGCGCGGATTTCTAGCTCTGAGTTGGATAGTGGAAGATTTTCTGGAATGGTGACGACAGATTTGAGGCTCTCAGGTGATGAGTGAGGAACGATAAGTCGGTCAAGTTTTTGGGCCTTAATTTGGTGAAATGGTTAAAAACACTGCCTTTGGTGACGATATTGCTTGGAATGAGAGAAAGAGGATGCATAAAAATTAGAGCGAAAACAAATGTTCTCTTAGGTTTTAACGCGTTTCACCTTCGTCTTGGTGCCGAAAATATTGGTTTAAGAACGCCCACCAGTCTTTTGCAGAAAAATATGATCTGCAAATATTTTATTTAAAGCGGTGCAGCATCTTTTAGACTCAGTAGCCTTAATTTTTTCTTTTAAAGAAAAGACAGGGGAAAAACTTCACACTTTTGAGTTTGGTCACGTATGGTGTCTTCTATAATTTTCTTGCATACACTTTTTTTTATATCGTGATAGATAAAAAGCCATTCCATCACTCACAGGTACAATATACTCTAAACTTGTGACAGTGCGATTGATAACTGGGCTGTTAGACTGTCGAAATACCAAGATTACTCAGTTTGTTCATCATCGATAACGAATCTCGGTTCGAGTTGTAGTATCATATCGTTATAATCATAAAAAAAATCTGATAAGGCCTCACTTTTTTCCTCACATGGGGAACCGTTGTCAGCAGCAGCCAGGTTTTCATCAGCTTCCATGTTGTCCTCTTTGCCAACTGAAATACCAATACATATTAATAATTAAAACACTCCCCATCTATGATGATCTCTGATGATGACCAAGATTTATATTTCGACTTAATTTCGGACTTAAGCTTACATTCATTCAGTTTTATATTGATCTCTTCTACCTTTTGGTTTGTTTCCATCGTCATCTGATTCCTTCTTGGATGTAAAATGATCTTGAAATAGCGAAGAACACAAATTTAATTGAGCAAGGAACACTTTTAGGGTTCAGTTTGTTCGACGATGTGTTTGATTTGATTGTGCGTGTTGTACTCAGTGGTTACAAACTTAAATTACCACTATCTTTTTTCATTTTATTTCTCTCACCTGAAGAAAGTTTATCATCCAAATCAAGTTTTTCTTGGATTGCTTTAACTTTATCCCCTGACGTACCTAAAAAAATAAAACATAATTAAACATATTGGGTTGTGCTTTGGAAAATGTTTTAAAACAATGGAGGATAATAAATTTTTAGAAAGCAACCAACAGACACGTTTATGAATACAATACATCAACAACAGTGGATGTAGTGTTTTTTGGCCCAAGGTTTTCCTATTGTTGCTTTTTATTGCTGTTAAGCATTAAAATAGATGCTGCTGGTTATTGATTTAAAGCAACCAACGCTCACTCAATAAATCAGCCCTTATAACAATGAATTCAAACAAACAGACTGTATAATTCTTTACCTGTTGAACTCCCGATCTCTAAATCCTTTAATTTTCCAGAGGAATGCAATTGGCTTTTCTCCTGGTCTAAAAGTATAAAAAACAGATCGTTTAAATGCTCATCATCACAATTATCATTTTTGCTATTCATCAGTTGTGCTATCATTATCATCATTACTATTATCAGAATTGTTCTTGATAAATTTGACAGGATAATAACAGTCATAGAATAATAAATATTACAAAAGAAAACTAATTACGGCCAATTGGAATTTTTGTGATAGCCTAGTTGAAACCATTTCTGTTAGACTATCAAAATAGATAAATAATTGACCATTAAAAGAAAAAAAGACTCCAATTGCGAGTTGTGGTATAAAGATCGGCGCTAAACACATTTCATCATTTTTCTTTTGTTTGCTAATGATTTGTCTGCAAAGACCTGGTTTTCTCCTGCTCCTAACTTAACTTGCGCCTCTTCAGTTAAACCAAACAGCAATTAGTATAACTGGTATCCAAATTACAACATCCAGCACTTTTCTTTTATTAGTCTTGATCCTCCTGTCTATTTGAGAGTTTTTCCCCATTTCAATTTCAAAGACAAAAACAAATTTTGAAACTAAAAAAAAATGCACATGCAAATGTTTTAAATAACAACTGCTATTATGAGTCTGGGAAATCATTCTTCTCTTAAGCAGTCAGAAAATGTTTGGAGGTACAGTTCGTCCTGTTATAGTAAAACAACACGTAGACTCGTAGTCAACAGTGTGGTTCGTCATTCGCTGACTTTCAGTTGTTTGATTGGCGACATCACCATTGATTGTTACTACCTTGTTTTAAGTCAGTCATTTTTTAGCCCCCTTTCCTATCTCCTTGTCTCCGATGTTGGGAATCAGCGAACTTGATATAATGAACTGCAACTTGTATGTTGTTTGGATTTTCTCTCTGTAATAGTGTAGTTTGATCGTCCGGGAGAGTGTAGTCCTGAGAAGGACTGTTGTCGGTAGTGGCATCTGACGTTTCGACAACCTGAGCGGAAGCCATCGTCTTGTATACACTGATTGGTCAGTTTTGCCGTGATGTTATTGGCTGTAAGACTCAGGTGGCGTAGGTCGGTCGTAATTGGTCGGTCTCGATCCGTTAGTGAAGTCCGGTCGTTCTGTTCGTTCATTTGTAATGGTAATGTCGTGAATGAGTCTTTTGTATGGTGCCTGTAGTGGTTCACACTTGTTAAGGGGAGTCTGTTCCAAGTTGGTAAACCAGCTTTCTAGGGTCAGTCGTTGAAAGTAGTTGGTGCTGTAGGTTGGGCATTGCGCAGGGTCCCAGTCAATAGAGTGGTTCGTAAGTCGGTGATGTTCAACAATCTGATTGTTGATATCGTCTTTCCTTGTCGCTCGTTTGTGTTCAGTTAGTCTAGTTGTGAGGTTTCTGCCAGTCTCACCGATGTACGAGGCATGGTAGTGGGAGCAATTGATCTTATACAATGCTTCTTAGCTGTTCCTCGGTTCGTCTTTGTCTTTGACGCTAGTCAGTAACTGACGTAGTGTGGTAATAAGTTTGTTAGAGACGTGGATATTGAATGGTTGTAGGAATCGCGAGATGTTCTCAGATATGCCTTTACGTACGGTATATTTGCTGTAGTCGTAGGAGTTGTGTTGGCGTTAGCTTCGGTAGATGTAGTAGGTCGGTAAGTGTTACGTTTGATGAAGTCTTCGTTGTAGTTGTTCTTAGAAAAAACATGGTCAAGGTACTTGTTCTCGTCGGATAAGCTGTCTGTCGTGTTGCATCTAAGTTGCGCTCGTCGCGTAAGAGTCCTGATAGTTGTGGCTTTGTGTGATGTCGGGCTATAGGATGACTCGTCCAGTAATCTGTCGATATGTGTCGGTTTCCTGTAAACCGTTGTTCGTGGTGAGTTGTCGTCACGGCTTACCAGGCAGTCTAGAAAAGGTAGTTTACCATTTTCTTCGACCTCTCTGTATGTCAGTGTTTTTTTCGTTGAGGTGGTGGTGGAATGCGTCGATTTCGTCGTGTCGTACGGCGGTGAAAGTATCGTCAACGTAGCGTAACCAAAGTGGTATCGATTGTAGGTAAGTCGAAAGGGCGCTTTCCTCGATGTTGCATCACAATTTCTGCTACAACAACAGAAATTGGAGACCCAATAGCTGTACTGTATAACTGTTTGTAGTGTTTACCGTTGTATTGAAAGTAAGTTGACGTCAGGCAAAGGTATAGTAAGTCCATAATGTTCTCTGTCGGTAGCAGTAGAGGGTCGGTAGATTGTAAGATAGCAGTCTCAGTACATTGTAATGCTAGTTGAAGTGGAATACTTGTAAAAAGCGATTTCACATCAAATGACACTAGTTTGTAGTCGTCAGGTATCTGTACAGTCTTAGTGGCGTTACTGAAGTCCTCGGTGGATTGTAGTTTACGTCTGGATTTGTCGGTGAGCGGTTGTAGTATTGTCGTCAGGTACTTGGACAGTTGGTATGTCGGAGAACCACAGAAAGAAACAATAGGGCGCATTGGGAAACCAGGTTTGTTTAGTTTCGGCAGACTGTAAAGTTTCAGTGGCTGTGGTACTGAGCACCTGAGTCGATAGTAGCGTTGGGTGTCAATGGTGTCTGTCTTCTTGAGTGTCAGTAATGTTAAGTTTGCGTTGAAGCGCAGGAGTCGGGTCACGTTAGAGTTGTTCGTAGGTTTGTTTGTCGTTACTTTACTAGTGCGTCCATTTTGTCGTGATAGTCAGTTTTGTCCATGACAACAGTAACTCGTCCTTTGTCGGCTGGTAGAATAACTATGTCCTCGTCGTTTGAGGGCATGTTGTTCGTCTTAAGTCGAGTTGCTGCCATGTTGTAACGCTGATTGTATAGTGGAAGCAATTCTACTTCTGATATTACCCTTAGTAGACTCAGATAGCTCTCGTTGCCGAGATAAAGCCGCTTCAACACTAGATACAATGGCCTTGGTTGGTATCCGTTTCGGTGTAACTGAGTGTTTCTGTCCGTATGACAGTAGGCGAGTTTCATTCCTGTCTAAGAGACGGGAAGAGATGTTCCTTACCAAGTTGTCGTCCGGTTTACTTCGTCTCTGTTCTTTGTTGCGTAGAAGTCCTGTCAGTTTCTGTTGATGCCCAGTACGGGCACGTTCAGTCGCTTTGTTGTCTCGTTTGTCGGCAATAGTCGTGACAATGTCAAGTAATTCAGTAAGTATCAGTTGTTTCAGTTTGTCGTGAAGTTGTTGTGTCTTGTTTTTGTAGCGTTTGAGTCTTCTGTGGCAATCATTTAGCCGCGCTTTGACCAGTCGTCTGCAGGTGGCTCTGACGATCTGGATGACCTCTTGAGTGTTCAACGGGAACTAAACCAGAGTTGTTGTCGTATTCGTCTGACAGTGCTTGCGTTGGTGATGTAGTCGTTCGTAAGTCGTTCGCTCTCTCGTCCAAGCGAACGTAACACAGTAAATGGTTTGAACCCTGGGGTAACATATAATAGCGTTTGAAGCTCTTTTTTCTTTCGTTTTATAAACCTTGACTTCGTCTCGGTAACTCAATATTAAAAAACTCCTTGGTCAAAATCCAGTCCGCCCAGTCACCCCACATACTTGGTGAAATACGCGCACAGGTGATTTCAGAAAATAACCTTTGTATATTAAATTCCACTTAATTCAGTCCTTTAAGGACTTTGATTTCTCTGTGCTTCCTAACTTACCTACTAAAGGAGCATCCTTCATATCCACTTTTTTCTCAACAGGAGTAGCTTCACTTTTGTCTGTCAATAAAATTACAATGAAATGGTTTTCACTCTTTTTTGTGTCATCAACTGATCAAGGAGGCAACTCATGGACTAAACTTTTGATAATGCGATTGATAACTGGTCTGTTAGACTGTCGAGATACCAAGAATATTCGCTTTGAACATCATGTAGTTGACAAAATAATGAAGGGGGTAAGTTTCTAAAAAAACTGTGGTGCTGCGTCGGTGGGAGAGTATAACAGGGTAATGAACTGAGTTGATAACGTAAATTAGCAACCGTAAAGAGTTTTAAAGCTGACATTTCAAGCATTAGCCCATCGTCAGAGCGAATGGCTCAGATTCACTATCAACTCAGTTGATAGTTGAAAAAATTTCAGTACTAGTTGTCTTGTTATTGTTAATTCTAATAAGAAATCTAAAGATGCTTGTTTCTTTTTTCTCACCTGATAAACTGTTATCAGCAAAGTCCAGGCTTCCAACAGCGGCTGTTGAGGAGGCCTGTTGACCAACTAAAATACCAATAAATGTAAATAGTAATAATACTCGTGACTTTTACAACTTTTGTTTTCTTCATCTCCTAATATATGCAAGGTTTTCTCCCCTAGGTGTAAAAATTAAGACCCAAATCGGTTTGAAAAGTGAAAAATGTAAAACGCATAGTTATCGTGCCGATTTAGGCTATAAAATAATTTCTTCTTTATTTCTATCCTAAATATTGACCCTCTAAAAGTGATCATCTCTCTTCAATCTTCGAGAAGCTGACTTGTTTTGCAATGTGTTTCCCAGTTTTTAATTGACGCTTAAGCTAAGACACACTCTGTGTTTGCTCTAATTACTTGTACCTTTTGATTTTGCATCATCGTCATCTGACTCCTTCTTGAGTCCGAATTGACCTTGGAATGATAAAAAAGAATATTTTTCCTTTGAGCAAGGTAAATTTTTAGCCGTAATGATTCAGTTGTTTGTGTTTAACTTATTTTCATAGGTCTTTTTTCACTCCCAAACTTGAAAAGTGCAATTCATTTACTGTTTTATCTCTCTCACCTGATAAAAGCTCATCCTCCAAATTCACCTTTTCTTGGTTTGCTGAATCTTTCCCTTCCGAAGTAGCTAAAAATTAGGAAAGAATCAAACATAGTGGGTTGCACTTTGGACTTTTTTAAACAATGAAGAATAATACATTCATAGAAATTAACTTTCCTACTTTGTATAGAACGTCAAATATGATCAAGAATAATAATTGCACCCCTATTCACGGGGGCACATAGAGGAAGGAGTGTTCATAGTTCAGTTGAGTATAAATTTACGTCTAGTTTGTCACAACACATCAAATAAAAAGATATCTGGCGTATGATCAAGTGCCCATATCGGACATGGAACCCATTGAAATGGTATCCTAAGGGCGGGGAAATTACAAACAAGTGAGGAGTGCCGCGCATCGCCCAGAATGCTATTGTCTTTCGCGACATGTACTTGCAGTGCCCATTTAATCAGCGAGCAGCATAATAATTTGCATATCCTGAACTAGTCGGTTGTGATTGGTCAGCAGGTAAAGCTTTGGGAATACATGAGTCTCTTGGCAGATTTTAGCTGCTGTCAATCAAACGGTTGGATGCGTAAAGTAAATCCCAAGTTGCCAACAGTTACGCATCTGAATTCATAACATTTGTCTGCAAATAACACTTTTCTAAAATAAACGGTTATACTGAATTTTGCAAACATTGCTAGACGTATTTAAGTAAGTAAGTAACCTCATTTCTGAGTCAAACATAAAGACCAACCAAAGGAAAAATCCTAATAGGGGACATGTAAGAGAACAATGGTATCTTTAAAGTTCGATTAGTTCAACAATCAAACTCGCAAAAAAAGTAGGTTCCATGAACCTCCAACCAAGGATTGAGGTCGATAGCGGGATGTTCTGTTTTATGTTATTGCCTATTTTCTATTTCGTTAAAATCGCTTCAATCGGTAGAGAAAAATATGAGCGATGCTTCCGACAACCGGCTTGTGATTGCGACGATCGTCGAGATAGAACTAAAGTCTATCTTGCGATAATAATAGGAGTGTGGTTTCCATATGATAGTAACGATTGCTGAATATTTTTGCAGCGATCGCAGCGATCATATCTTAAAAGCTTTTACAGTTGTTTAAGCATTGTCTAGTTACCACCTCAATTTCAATACTAATTAGGCGGCGTGTGCGCGATTGTTTGCGGAGGCGGAGCTTAGCATACCTTGATATTCTCGCGGGAAGTTTAAAATAGGTCACTTGTATTCTCGTGGGGGTCTCCGAAGGACAAATTTGGATAGAACACTACGATGCTGAGCAAACGTTTTCGAAATTCGCGTTTTGCGACAACTTCCAAAGTTTGGAATCCCTTGAAAATTTCTATGACGCTTTCTAGAATGTCAAATAAAAATAACCGTATGGTAAAAGAGAAATCTAGCAATTGAGTGAAGATAAATTACGCCTGAAAGTGCGCTGAGATCGACTTCTCATACAAGCAGGATGCTAACATAGTCAATTTTCAAGGCAAATTTGCGACCTCTTCTGAAAGCGCAAGAACAAAGTGAGAATGATACACTGTTCAATTGAACTTTCTTCTTTAAAAGCCATATGGTAAAAGTAGCATTTGAAAAGTAGTTTATCCGTAAACGAAGAGAACGTAAGCCTTCCTCGACATTTTCAGCCCTTTTCCTTTATTGTTTGACAATCATTTTCTAATTAGCTTTTAAATTTAGCGCCAGCGTCTCAATGAAAGTCCTGGATATGTCGCTGAATTCTGGGCGATGCGAGTATTTAGACCTGCTGGACCAGGAAAAATTTCAGAATGATAAGTTAATTAACAACATATTAATAATTTCTGTCCATCATCGGCGCAAACTCTGCACATGTGAACAATTCCTGAAAAACATTTAACTGCTTTTCTCACCTAATGAACTGTTGTCAGTCAAGTCCTGGTTTCCTTCGGCTGCTTCAACTTGCGCCTCTTTGGTAACTCAAAAAAACAAAGAATATCAGTGGTCATAAAAACTGGAATATTTGAAAAGCTTTTCTATTAATTTCCACCATCCTCTGATATTTTTAATGGGGTTTTCCTCTTAGCATCGCAGTATCAAAGACTAAAATAACTTTAGAAACTGAAAAATATAAATTTCTCTGTTACTGTGTAGTTTACAGCTCTGAAAGAATCTCTTGGTTACTTCTGTCTTAATATCAACCCACAGAAAATTACTCATTCTGTCAGTTTTCAATCTTTAAAACGCTCTATTGTCTTGAAACGTTCCATTTGAAGTAACTAAAACCGTGCTTTTGGTAAAAAGTTTCCTTAAGTGAATTTCCACAACACTTGTCTGTTAACGTCTTCTTAGCCGCGTAAACATTCAAGATCAAGTAATAAGGTGCGAGGAAAACAACGAAATTGTTTAACGTTACAAATACTTGTAAACAATTAGAGATTGCTTTGAAATTAAGGAAACTGTGCCAACCAATGTTGTCGTTCTTTAGTCGACGATGTTCAGAAATGTGATTGTTGACATCACCATTTCTCACGGCCGATCTTTTAAACTGCTCCTTGTTAGTTCTGTTCGTAATTAAATGTTCTCTTGAGTTTTTATGGGTTTTGCCCTCGTCTCGGTGCCGAAAATCTTGGTTAAGAACGCCTGCCAGTTTTTTGCAGAAAAAAGATCTGCGCATATTTTAATCAAAACGGCGCAGCCTCTTTTAGACTCAGTAATTTTGTCTGTTAAAGAAATGACAATGAAAAGATTCACACTTTTGAGTTTTGTCACGTATTTGTGTCTTCTGTAATTTCCTCGTATACTCCATATTTTTATATCGTGATTACGGATAAAAAGCCAGTCCATCATTCGCAGGTACAGTTCTTTCTCTAAACTTGTGATAGTGCGATTGATAACCAAGATTATTTGGTTTGCTCATTATAGTTTACAAATCTCGGTTCTAGTTGTTGTATCATATCGTTACAATCATAACGGTGTGCACGTGCTCTCTTATGCCATCAGAAAATCACTGGAAGTACAGTTCGTGCTCTTACAGTGAAACAACACATGGACACTTAGTCAAAGCTGTGCACGTGGTTCGTCATTCGCTGATTTTCGGTAGTTTGATAGTGGACATCACCATTGATCTTTGTTCGTTCGTCTTAAGTCAGTCATTTGTTCGCGCCCTTTCCTATCTCCCTGTCTCTGAAGTTGGGAATCGGCGCAATTCGTCTAATAAACTGCACCTTGTCTGTTGTTTGAATCTTCCTTGTCTTTAATGTTAATTAGTAAGAGAAGTTCTTTTTGTCTTCGTTTCATAAACCTCGACTTCGTCTCGGTTACGCAATATTCAAAAACTTCTTAGTCAAAATCCAGTCCACTCAGTCACACCACATACTTGGTGAAATACACGTTCATGTGATTTTCAGAAAGTAATCTATGTATATTAAATTCCACCTAACTCAGTCTTTTATGGACTTTCATTTCTCTGTGCTTTTTAACTTACCTATTAAAGGAGCATCCTTCATATCCACTTTTTTCTCAACAGAAGTAGCTTCACTCTTGTCTGTCAATGAAATTACAACAAAATGGTTTTCACTCTTTTTTGTGTCATCAACTGATCAAGGAGGCAACTCATGGACTAAACTTGTGATAATGCGATAGATAACTGGTCTTTTAGACTGTCGAGGTACCAAGAATATTCGCTTTGCTCATCATGTAGTTGACAAAATAATAAAGGGGATAAGTTTCTAAAAAAAAAGTGGTGCTGCGTCGGTGGGAGAGTATAACGGTAATGAACTGTGTTGATAACGTAAATTAGCAACCGTAAAGAGTTTTAAAGCTGACATTTCGAGCATTAGCCCATCGTCAGAGGGAATGGCTCTGATTCACTATCAACCCAGTTGATAGTTGAAAAAATTTCAGTACTAGTTGTCGCGTTATTTAACTCTAAAAGGAAATCTAAATATGCTTGTTTCTTTTTTCTCACCTGATAAACTGTTATCAGCAAAGTCCAAGCTTCCAACAGCGGCTGTTGAGGAGGCCTGTTGACCAACTAAAATACCAATACATGTAAATAGTAGTAATACTCGTGATTTTTCACAACTTTTGTTTTCTTCATCTCCTAATATATGCAAGGTTTTTCCCCTAGGTGTAAAAATATCTAAGATGGAAATCGGTTTGGAAAGTGAAAAATGTAAAACGCATGGTTATCGTGCCGATTTAAGCTGTAAATAATTTCTTCTTTATTTCTATCCTAAATGTTAACCCCCCAAAAAAGGCATCAGTCCCTCCTCAATCTTCGAAAAGCTCTCTTGATTCGTAACGTGTTTCTTGGTGTTTAATTGACGCTTAACTTTTAACACGCACTCTGTGTTTGCTGTAAACACTTGTACCTGTTGATTTGCCATCATCGTCTGACTCCTTCTTGAATCCAGATAGACCTTGGAATGGTAAAAAAGAATATTTTGCTTTAAGCAAGGAAAATTTTTAGCCGTAATGATTAAGTTGTTTGTGTTTAACTTATTTTCATAGGTCTTTTTTCACTCACAAACTTGAAAAGTGCAATTCATTTACTGTTTTATCTCTCTCACCTGATAAAAGCTCATCCTCCAAATTCACCTTTTCTTGGTTTGCTGAATCTTTCCCTTCCGAAGTAGCTAAAAATTAAGAAAGAATCAAACATATTGGGCTGTGCTCTGGACCTTTCCATTAAACAATGAAGAATAATACATTTATAGGGGGTAACAATTAATTATATAGAGTCTATTAGATATATTTTCCTCCTTTAAATGTGTTTGATTTCAAATCAAGTCAGTCTTACTTACCTGCTATGGACAAAGAAGCATTAAAATCCACTCCGTTATCGCTTGAGGTAACTTCGCTTTTGTCTGCCTCTGAAATTATAACCAAAAGTTGTATCTCATCTGAGTTGAGTTAAATGCGTTTTGATACAGTTTAGTTTAGTGCATCTGAAAGGTCTGTTGTCTATCTAGGTTTAGCTCAGGTTAGCTAAGTATAAGTTATCTTTTAGGCGGGGGCACAGAGGAAGGAGTGTTAATAGTTTAGTTGAGTATAAATTTACGTCTAGTTTGTCACCAAAAAGATACCTGGCCTATGATCAAGTACACATATCAGACATTGAACTTGTCACACCTTTTCAAATGGTATCTTATGGGCGGGGAAATAACAACGACGAACAGGTGAGGAGTGCCGCGAGTATTTAGACCTACTGGACTAGGAAAAATTTTACAATGATAAGTTGAATAACAACATATTGAATAATTTCTGTCCATCATCAGGGTAAGCTCTGTTCTGTTATCATTGCACAAGTCAACAATTTCTGAAAAGCATTTAACAGTTTTTCTCACCAAATGAACTGTTGTCAGGCAAGTCCTGGTTTCCTTCGGCTGCTTCAACTTGCGCCTCTTTGGTGACTCAAAAAAACAAAGAATATCAGTGGTCATAAAAACTGGAATATTTGAAAAGCTTTTCTATTGATTTCCACCATCCTCTGATATTTTAATTGGGGTTTTTCCCTTAATATCGCAATATGAAAGACTAAAATAACTTCAGAAACTGAAAAATATTAATTTTTTCCGTTATTGTGTAGCTTACGACTGTGAAACAATCTCTTGATTTTTTCTGTCTTAATATTAACCCACAGAAAATTATTCAGTCAGTTTTCAATCTTTAAACGCTTAATTGCCATGAAACGTTTCATTTGAAATAACTACAACTGTCCTTTTGGTAAAAAGTTTTCTTGAGTGAATTTCCACACCACTTATCTCTCAACGGCTTCTTAGCCGCGTAAACATTTAAGATCAAGTAACAAGGTGCGAGGAAAACAATGAAATTGTTTAACATTACAATTACTTGTAAACAATCATAGATTGGTTTGAAGTTACGGAAACTGTGCAGACCAATGCCACAATTGAAATATGATTATTTTGCTCAGTTTTAAACAAAAACGATTCCAGGGTTTTTTTTGGATAATCTTCCTATTTCAAACTGTCTGAGTGCTACACTTATTACTTATACCTATTAATTTGTTATCATTGCCATCTGACTCCTTCTTTAATGCAATTTGGCCTCGAATTATGAAAGAAAAAACATTTCCCTTTGAACTAAGAACACTTTTAGTTAATGATCCATCGTTTGTTTATTTCAATGTTTATTTCATGACGTTTGTTGTACTCAATGCTCACTGACTTAATTTATTGCTATCTACTTGGTGAAAACATTATTTGATGAAAAAAACCGAAAGCTGCGGACTGACCCTCTGGGGAAGTTCAGTTGGACTTTCTAATCTGATTAGACATCTCTAATTTGATTAGACATCTCTAATTTGATTAGACATCTCTAATTTGATTAGACATCTCTAATTTGATTAGACATCTCTAATTTGTTAGTTTGTCGTTTTCATGGAAAACGGCTTTATGAAATTGAACGCGCGAAGGAATTTTTCGAAGTGTTGCTTGCCTAAAAATTTTTCGGTGCTTTTAAAAATGGAAACAGAATTTAAGCCCTTACCGAGCACAGATTTCTAGCTCTGAATTAGATAGTGGAAGATTTTCTCGGTTCGAGATGTAGTATCATATCGTTATATTCATATAAAAAATCTGATAAGGCTTCACTTTTTTCCTCACCTGGGGAACCGTTGTCAACAGCAGCCAGGTTTTCATCAGCTCCCATGTTGTTCTCTTTTCCAACTGAAATACCAATATACAGTAATAGTTAAAAGGCTCACTATCTGAGATGATCTCTGATGATGACCAAGATTTATATTTAGAATTAAAATTCAGACTTAAATTCAGGCATATATTCATTCAGTGTTATATTGATCTCTTGTACCTTTTGGTTTGCTTCCATTACCATCTGATTCCTTCTTGGATATAAAATGATCTTGAAATGGCAACGAACACAAATTTACATGAGCAAAGAACACTTTCAGTGTTCAGTTTGTTCGACGGTGTGTTTGATTTTATCGCGCGTGTTGTATTCAGTGGTTACAAACTTAAATCACCCATCTCTTTTCTGTTTTATTTCTCTCACCTGAAGAATGTTTATCATCCAAATCCAGATTTTCTTGGATTGCTTTAACTTTATCCTCTGACGTACCTAAAAAAATAGAAAATAGTTAAACATATTGGGTTGAGCTTTGGAAACTGTTTGAAAACAATAAAGGATCATAATTTTCTAGAGAGCACCTAACAGACACGTTTACAAATACAATACATCAAGAACAGTGAATGTAGTCTTTTTGGCCCAAGGTTTTCCTATTGTTGCTTTTTATTGCTTTTAAGCATTAAAATAGATGCTGCTGGTTATTGATTGAAGCAACCAACGCTCACTCAATAAATCAGCCATTATAACAATAAATGCACACCAAGAGATGGTATAATCCTTTACCTGTTGAACTCTCGATCTCTAAATCCTTTGATTTTCCAGAGAAAAGGACTTGACTTTTCTCCTGGTCTAAAAGTATAATGAACAGATTTTTTAAATACTCATCATCACAATCATCGTTGTTGCTATTCATCAGTTGTGCTATCATTATTATCATTACTATTATTAGAATTGTTCTTGATCAATTTGACAGGACACAACTTGACAGGATAATAAAAGTCATAGAATAATGAATGTCACAAGAGAAAACCATGTACCGTCATTGGAATTTTCGTGAAAGCCTAGTTGAAAACTTTCTTGTTAGACTATCAAAATAGATAAATATTTATCCATTAAAAGAAAAAAAACTCCTGTTGCGAGTTGTGGTAAAAAAGATCGGCGCTAAACGCATTTCACCATTTTTCTTTTGTTTGCCAATGGATTGTTGTCTGTAAAGGCCCTGGTTTTCTCCTGCTCCTAACTTAACTTGCGCCTCTTCAGTTAAACCAAACAGCAATTAGTATAACTGGTATCCAAATTACAACGTTCAGCACTTTTTTTTTTTAATTCCTGATCCACCTGTCTATTTGGGAGTTTTTCCCTGCTGTATTTCAATTTCAAAGACAAAAATAAATTTTGAAACTAAAAAAAATGCACGAGCAAATGTTTTGAATAACAACTGCTATTATGAGTCTCGGAAATCATTCTTCTCTTATGCCATCAAAATATCGTTAGAGGTATAGTAATAGTTCTGTAATAGTGTAGTTCGATCGTCCGGGTGAGTGTAGTCCTGAGATATACTGTTGTCGGTAGTGGTGACTAACGTTTCGACAACCTGAGCAGAAGTCATCATCAGAGTCAATTGAATAGTTGTTGTCAGTCGAATGTTCTTGGTCCGGTTTGTATAAACTGATTGGTCAGTTTTGACGTGATGTTATTGGCTTTGAGACTCAAGTGGCGTAGGTCGGTCGTGATTGGTCGGTCTCGATCCGTTAGTGAAGTTAGGTCGTTCCGTTCGTTCGTTTGTGATGTTAATGTCGTGAATGAGTCGTTTGTATGGTGCCGGTAGTGATTGATATCTGTTGAGGGAAGTCTGTTCCAAGTTGGTAAACCAGCTTTCTAAGGTCAGCCGTTGAAAGTAGTCAGTGCTGTAGGTTAGGCATTGCGCAGAGTCCCAGTCAATAGTGTGGTTCGTAAGTCGGTGAAGTTTAGCAATGTGATTGTTGACATCGCCTTTTCTCAACGCTTGTTTGTGTTCAGTCAGTCTAGTTTTGAGGTTTCTGCCATTCTGTGTCATCGATGTAGGAGGCGTGGCAGTCGGAGCAATTGATCTTATACACTACTCCCTGTCTGTTCCTCGGTTCGTCTTTGTCTTTGACGTTAGTCAGTAACTGACGTTATGTGGTGATAGGTTTGTGAGCGACGCGGATATTGAATGGTTGTAAAATGCGCGAGATGTTCTCAGATATGCCTTTTATGTACAGTATAGTTGCTGTAGTCGTATGAGATGTGTCGTCGTTAGCTTCAGTCGGTAGTAGTAGTAGGTCGGTAAGTGTTACGTTGGATGAAGCCTTCGTTGTAGTCGTTCTTAGAAAAAACACGGTCAAGGCACTTGTTCTCGTCGGATAAGCTGTCTGTCGTGTTGCATACTAGTTGCGCTCGTTGCGTAAGAGTCTTGATAGTTGTGGCTTTGAGTGATGTCGGGGTATATGATGACCCGTCCAGTAATCTGTCGGTATGTGTCGGTTGCCTTTAAACAGTTGTCCGTAGTGAATTGTCGTCACGGCTTACCAGGCAGTCTAGAAAAGGTAGTTTACCATTCCTTCGACCTCTCTAGTAAACTGCATGTCAGTGTTTTGTTCGTTAAGGTGGTGGTGGAATGCGTCACTTTTGTCGTGTCGTACGGTGGTGAAAGTATCGTCAACGTAGCGAAACCAAAGCGGTATCGTTTATCAGCAAGTCGAAAGGGCGCTTTCCTCGATGTTGCATCACAATTTCTGCTACAACAACAGAAACTGGAGACCCAATAGCTGTACCGTGTAACTGTTTGCTGTTTACTTGTACTGAAACTAAGTTGACGTCAGGCAAAGGTTTAGTTAGTCTATAAAGTACTCTGTCGGTAGAGGGTCGGTAGATTGTAAGATAGCAGTCTCAGTAAATTGTAGCGCCAGTTGAAGTGGAATACTTGTAAAAAGCGATTTCACATCAAATGACACTAGTTTGTAGTCGTCAGGTATCTGTACAGTCTTAGTGGCGCTAATGAAGTCCTCGGTGGATTGTATTTTATGTCTGGATTTGTCGGTGAGCGGCTGTAGTATTGTACTACTTGGAGAGTTGGTATGTCGGAGAACCACAGGAGAACCACAGAAAGAAACAATAGGTCGCATTGGGAAACAAGGTTTGTGTAGTTTCGGCAGACTGTAAAGTTTCGGTGGCTGTGGTACTGAGCACCTAAGTCGATAGTCGCGTTGGGTGTCAATGGCGTCTGTCTTCTTGAGTGTCAGTAATGTGCTGTTAAGTTTGCGTTGAAGCACAGGAGTCGGGTCACGTTTGAGTTCTTCGTAGGTTTTGTTTGTTGTTAACTAGTGCGTCCATTTAGTCGTGATAGTCAGTCTTGTTCATGATAACAGTAACTCGTCCTCTGTCGGCTGGTAGAATAATATGTCCTCGTCGTTTTTAAGTCGTTTAAGGGCATGTTGTTCGTCTTTAATCAAGTTGCCGCCATCTTGTAACGCTGATTGCATAGTGGAGGCAATTCTACTTCTGATGTCCTTAGCAGACTCAGATAGCTTTCGTTGCCGAGATGGAGCCGCTTCAACACCAGATACAATGCCTTCGGTTGGTATCCGTTTCGGTGTAACTGAGTGTTTCTGTCCATATGACAGTACGCGAGTTTCATTCCTGTCTAAGGGACGGGAGGAGATATTCCTTACCTAGTTGTCGTCCGGTTTACTTCGCATCTGTTCTTTGTTGCGTAAACGTCCTGTCAGTTTCTGTTGATGCCCAGTACGAGCACATTCAGTCGCTTTGTTGTCTCGTTTGTCGGCAATAGTCGAAACAGCGTCAAGTAATTCAGTAGGTATCAGTTGTTTTAGTTTTTCATGTAGTTGTTGTGTCTTGTTTTTGTAGCGTTTGAGTCTTCTGTGGCAATCATTTAGCCGCGCTTTGACAGTCGTCTGCAGGTGGCTCTGACGATCTGGATGACCTCTTGTGTGTTCAACGGGGACTTAAGTTTGAGCCCGGCCGGAACAAGGTTGTGATCTTTACAGCAGAGATTAAACAAAAGTTGTTGGGGAATCCTTCTGACAGTGCTTGCGTAGGTGATGTAGTCGTTCGTAAGTCTTTCGCTCTCTCGTCCAAGCGAACGTAACATAGTAAATGGTTTGAACCCAGGAGTAACATGTAATAGCGAATGAAGCTCTTTTTTCTTTCGTTTTATAAACGTTGACTTCGTCTCGATAACTCAATATTCAAAAACTCCTTGGTCAAAATCCACTCCGCCCAGTCACCCCACATACTTGGTGAAATACGCGCGCAAGTGATTTTCAGGAAATAATGTTTGTATTTTAAATTCCACTTAATTCAGTCTTTTAAGGACTTTGATTTCTCTGTGCTTCCTAACTTACCTAATAAAGGAGCATCCTTCATTTCTTCTTTTTCCTCAACAGGAGTAGCTTTACTTTTGTCTGTCAATAAAATTACAACGAAATGGTTTTCACTCTTTTTTGTGTCATCAACTGATCAAGGAGGCAACTCATGGACTAAACTTGTGATAATGCGATAGATAACTGGTCTTTTAGACTGTCGAGTTACCAAGAATATTCGCTTTGCTAATCTTAGTCAATAAAATGATAAAGGGGGTATGTTTCTAGAGAAACTGTGGTGCTGCATCGGTGGGAGAGTATAACAGGGTAATTAACTAAGTTGATAACGTAAATTAGCAACCGTAAAGAGTTTTAAAGCTGACATTTCGAGCGTTAGCCCTTCGTCAGAGCGAATGGCTTTGATTCACCATCAACTCAGTTGATAGATGACAAAATTTCAGTTCTAGTTGTCTTGTTATCGTTAATTCTAATAAGAAATCTTAAGATGCTTGTTTCTTTTTTCTCACCTGATAAACTGTTATCAGCAAAGTCCAGGCTTCCAACAGCTGCTGTTGAGGAGGCCTGTTGACCGACTAAAATACCAATACATGAAAATAGTAATAATACTCGTTATTTTTCACAACTTTTGTTTTCTTCATCTCCTAATATATGCAAGGTTTTTCCCCTTGGTGTAAAAATATCGAAGACCCAAATCAGTTTGGAAAGAGAAAAATGTAAAACGCATGGTTATCGTGCCGGTTTAGGCTGTAAAATAATTTCTTCTTTATTCTATCCTAAATATTGACCCTCTAAAAGTGATCATCTCTCTTCAATCTTCGAAAAGCCGACTTGTTTTGCAACGTGTTTCCCAGTGTTTAATTGACATTTAAGCTAACACACATTCCACGTTTGCTCTAATTACTTGTACCTGTTGATTTTGCATCATCGTCATCTGACTCCTTCTTGAATCCAAATTGACCTTGGAATGATAAAGAAAAGTATTTTATTTTAAGTGAAGGAAACATTTAGCCGTAATGATTCATTTGTTTGTGTTTCATTTATTTTCATAGGTCTTTTTTCACTCACAAACTTAAGAAGTGCAATTCATTTACTGTTTTATCTCTCTCACCTGATGAAAGCTCATCCTCCAAATCCACCTTTTCTTGGTTTGCTGAATCTTTCCCTCCTGTAGTATCTAAAAATTAGGAAAGAATCAAACATATAGGGTTGTGTTTTGGACTTTTCCTTTAAACAATGAAGAATAATATATTTATAGAAATTAACCTCCTTTGTATAGAACGTCAAATACGATCACCCCTGTTTGTTCGTGATTGTTACTTTTTATTGCTGATGAGTTCTCAAGCATTAGATCACTGAATTAGATGTGGCTGCCTTTTAATTCATTTCAAACCAAAATTTAATTAATAAACCAGAATTATGATCACATTATACTTCCATACTTTGTACAGTTTTGTACTTGCGGAACTGCCGATCTAAAATTTCCCCAAGTCGAAAATTAAAAAAAAAAAAGGGGTTTGAATGATCGTTATCACTGTCTTCACGGTCATCAACATCATCATATTATGGCTACTATTTATGTTTTCATTATCTTAGATTCTGTTTACTTTTCCCAGCTAGGACCACGTAGGTCATGTAACAATTTACTGTATGGAGTCTATTAGAGATTTTCTCCTATGATGAATATGTTTGATCTTAACCCAATTCAGTCCTACTTGCCTGCTACGGACAACGAAGCTTTAAAACCCACTCCGTTATCACTTGAGGTAGCTTCACTTTTGGTTGCCCCTGAAATTATGACCAAAAGTTGTATCTCATCTAAAGCGTTCTTGGTTAAGCTTAGTTCAGTGCACCTAAAAGGTCGGTTGTCTATCTAAGTTTAGCTCAGTTTAGTTAAGTATAAGTTTTCGTTTAGGCGGGGGCAGATAAAGGAAGGAGTGTTAATAATTTAGTTGAGTAAAAATTTACGTCCATCCAATGAAATGATATCTGGCCTATGATCAAGTACACATATAAGACATTGAACTTGTCACACTTATTCAAATGATATCTTATGGGCGGGGAAATAACAACGACAACCAAGTGAGGAGTGCCGCGAGTATTTAGACCTAATGGACCAGGGAAAATTTTAGAAGGATAAGTTAATTAACAACATATTTAATAATTACTGTCTATCATCGGGGTAAACTCTGTTCTGTATTGTATTGTATTGTACAAGTCAACAATTTCTGAAAAGCATTTAACTGTTTTTGTCACCTAATGAACTGTTGCTGGGCACGTCCTGGTTTCCTTCGGCTGCTTCAACTTGTGCCTCTTTGGTAACTCAAAAAAACAAAGAATATCAATGCTCATGAAAATGAAAAACTTAAACAGCTTTTATTGATTTCCACCATCCTCTGATAATTTTATTAGGGTTTTTCCCTTAATATCGCAATATAAACCCACAGAAAATTACTCATTCTGTCAGTATTCAATCTTTAAACGCTCAATTGTCTTGAAACGTTTCATTTGAAATAACTACAACTGTCCTTTTGGTAAAAAGTTTCCTTAAGTGAATTTCTACAACACTTGTCTCTCCACGGCTTCTTAGCAGCGTAAACATTGAAGATCAAGTAACAAGGTGCGAGGAAAACTATGAAATTGTTTAACATTACAAGTACTTGTAAACAATCATAGATTGGTTTGAAGTTACGGA